TCTCTTTAAACTGTTGTCAACCTCTTTGCAAACTTAATGTCAACATTATAACAAAATAAAAATGTCTATCGTCTTTTAAAGTCACTTGTCAAGAAAATATCAAATGATAGAGAAAGTAGGCAAAGACTACAATACTAAATACAATTATACTACTACTATACTACTTATTATACCAAGTACTACTTATAATAAAGTGAGTGGTGATCTATCTTTAGGTATGTAATTTTTTTATTAATTAACTTATTTATAAAAAAACATTACCTGTGTTAAACGGCGTGGTTACAAAAATTTTTACTTCTCGTCTTTGATTAGACTTTTTAATATCACAAAAAAATTGTCATCCGAAGATAATCTTATAGTTTTTCGATTTTAGGATAATCAAAATGGATTCAACTTCACGTGGTGAACAGGCGTTTTCTATTGATGTCACGCAAAGAGGACGTGAACTTTTGCGAAGAGCTGGCTATGAATATATTCTCAAAAGAATTAACAAAGATGGATCAAAACTCTGGCGGTGTGCAAGAAAAAGTGTTTGCAACGCTACTATAAAAATCAGAGTCGATGCATTAACAATTTTAAAAGAAACTGAACATAGTCATAAACCTATTGATATCACGAAAAATAAAGTGAACCGGCAAATGCAAAAATGTGTTGAAGAAGTTCAAAAGGACATTAACATCCCTGTAACGCAAGTGTTTGAAAACAGTATGGAAGTTCTGAGAGACGAGGGAATACATTTGGTTACACAATTACCACAATTTCACAACATAGAAAAGCGACTTTACAAAAAAAGAAATGATGCCTTTGGAGCAAAAAAAGTCACTTTTCACAAGGCTGCCGACGTCGAAGTACCAAAGACGTATCAAAAATTGTTGTTTGCGGACTATAGAGGACAAAAAAAGCGCATAATTGTGTTTGCAAGTGAAGAATTAAAAAAATATTTTAAACTGTGCAAACATTTCTATATGGACGGCACTTTCAAAATTTGTATCAAGTCATTTTATCAACTGTTTACTATACATGCAGATGTTGGAAGTAATGAAGACTACGTAAATGTTGTTCCACTAGCTTATGCACTTCTTCCTGATAAGAAGATATCGACGTATAAGTTGCTATTTGAACTCATTAAAAGCCAGATACCCGAATGGGAGCCGGGTATAATGACCATGGATTTCGAAATTCCATTAATACAGGCGGTCAAATATTTTTTCCCAGGTGTAAAAATAGTAGGTTGCTTATATCATTTTAAAAATAGTCTGTGGCGTAAAGCGAAAGAGTTAGGCGTTGACAAAACTCAACCAGGAAAAGATCATGTACAGTTATGTTCGGCTTTTTATCTACCACTAGATATGGTCGACGATGGCTGGTTGTACATAATGGAAGAGTCGCCAATTGGTCTAGAAATTACAAAATTTAATGACTACTTTGTTAAAACATGGTTAGAAAATTCAAGTTTATCAGGAACATTTAATACTTATGGTGAATATAAAACAAATAATGCTGTCGAGCAATGGAATAGTCATATTAGAAAATACATTAAACCAAAACCAAACATTGCCCAGTTGCTGCAAGGACTCCTAAAAGATATGAAGTACTATTCTGGAGCATTAGAAAATCCAAACGGCATCCAAATATCGAAGCGGAAGTCTTCTTCGATTGCTATGATGAAAAAAATTAATAATTCTGTAAATGATTTACTTAATAATAAAATAACTATCGGCCATTTTTTGGAGAGATTACGGTGAACATCGACTCCGGATGTGGATATTATTAACTCGTCGAGTACCGTCATTATAGACACAATTATAGAACAATAAGTTGCGGTCACCGGTGACCGCTTGGTGTTTGACAGTTTAATCTGTCAACGGTCAAAAGTCCACTGCCACATGACTACTATCGTTTTCGCTAGACGGGCTGCAGCACTTATACACACATGCACACGCATATTTATCCGTGTGTGTGTGATATTCACACGAAACAATATTTACGTAGTCTTCATTACTTCCAACATCGGCATGTATAGTAAACAGTTGATAAAATGACTTGATACAAATTTTGAAAGTGCCTGCCACATAGAAATGTTTGCACAGTTTAAAATGTTTTTTTATTTCTTCACTTGCCTCGTCCTCTATAGTCTGCAAACAACAATTTTTGATACGTCTTTGGTACTTCGATGTCGGTAGCCTTGTTAAAAGTGTTTTTTTTTGCTCCAAAGGCATCATTTCTTTTTTTGTAAAGTCGCTTTTCTATGTTGTGAAATAGTGGTAATTGTGTAACCAAATGTATTCCCTCGTCTCTCAGAACTTCCATACTGTTTTCAAACACTTGCGTTACAGGGATGTTAATGTCCTTTTGAACTTCTTCAACACATTTTTGCATTTGCCGGTTCACTTTATTTTTCGTGATATCAATAGGTTTATGACTATGTTCAGTTTCTTTTAAAATTGTTAATGCATCGACTCTGATTTTTATAGTAGCGTTGCAAATGTAACCAAATGTATTCCCTCGTCTCTCAGAACTTCCATACTGTTTTAGGTTAAGTTGTTGGTTGTTTTCCTTATGGCATCGAGCATTTCTTTATTGAAACAAAGAGTTTCCTTTTCTTGTATAGAAGCACTAATTCTATGGATTGTCAGTATGCATATGTGAGCACCATGTTGGATTTTAAGATTTTTTTTTTTAATTTTAGTAAGTTATTCGTATAATGCGTCGACTATTATTTATTTTGTATTTGTTGACGTTTCAAAAGTACCAAACTATGGTTTAATTGAAATTAATGCTTTGACTTTGACTTTGACATTTTATTTTTCGTACACTTTCACTTCACTACTCACTTAGGTCTAATTAAATTTACTTAAATAGTTATAGGTTATGAAGATTAAACTTGTCTGTAGGTTAGGTTAGATTAGTAAATCGTTACATTCGCTACATTTCTTTTCAATTTTTTCCTATTGTTTACATGTTTGCTTATTTAGTGGATAGGAAACCACTTATTTGTAAATAAATTATTTTAATAAAAATAGATAATAAATAATACTGTTTTATTTACAAACTTATTAACTTCTTCTGTAGTCTGATTTTATTTTACAGAAAACAGAAAAGAACATACAAAATAGGGATAGGTGGGAGTTTGAATCTACGGTTGGGCTTTAGGGTCTATATATAATATATAGTAAGTATATAAGCATCAGTACATAAATTGTAAGAAACATACGTAGTTATTACTGATCTATACCTGATCTACATGACTAAAAACGATAGTAATTACTGATCCTGTGAAGCTCAGTCAGTAATTTGACTGATCCTACGAAGCTATTATGATCATTTTAATGTAATTGTGATTTATGTTATCTACTATATAAAAATAAGTCGGGTTTTCCTTCCTGACGCTATAACTCCAGAACGCACGAACCGATTTCCACGGTTTTGCATTCGTTGGGTTCCGTGAGGTTTATAAAATATAAAACAAAAAAAAATGTTTTCATCTTATTAATCACCAACGAAATGTTACATAAAACGAAGCTATCTGGTGGCGAAACGGAGTTCGCAGGGTTTGCTAGTTTATTTTTAAAAATGCGTTGACTGTACATTTTTTGATTTCAGTTGTTATTTATGAGTGGTCCCAATCGCCGGAAGAAAAATATTTAATTTTTATGTACCCGGCGACTGGGACCGCGGTCCCAATAATTGTGGTCCCAGTCGCCGGATGCCTCAATTTAACAACGTTTTCCATTGTCTCTGTTCACCTTTATTTGAGATTATGTAACTATATGTGTATGTGTTTAAATCTAAGATCTGAGCCTTGCCCTTAGAGAGGTCAAGCACAATTATGACATCATATTGTACTGTAGTAATTGTTAAGGAAACAATAGATTGAATAATTGTAAAGTCTATGTAATTTTTCAAGCAGATAATATACATAATATTATGCGATATTGTACTATTTTTTTAAGGGGGAATACCATCGAATAACCGTTCCCGTCTAGGTGAGGCGGGAGAGAATGTCAGACTCTTACTGACTAAAAACCACCCCGTTCCTGCTCCTGCACTTCGAGCCGGAGCCCCGGTAACCAGTTAGGATCTCTGCGGCTCTAGGTTCTCTGCGGCTCCATTATTGTACTGTGGAGTGTGGTAACGGTAGACGGTAGTTCTACTCTTCCCGCTGATGTCGAATCCGCGGAGTAAGGGACTACTACTACTACTACTGGTCAGAATGGTCGATCACTGAGCAGTGCAAGAAAGACGGAGCTTTTTTTTATTAGCTTCTTGCTATTCTGATTCTGACACAATTGTAACATAACATAACATCACGCCTTTTATCCCCGAAGGGGTAGGCAGAGGTGCACATAGAAGTAACACCCACTTTTCACTATTTATGTTATGAGTCCCATGTAATAGGGGGTGAGCCTATTGCCATATACCGGGCACATTTCCAGACTCCGTGCTACTACTGAGATTTTTAAAAAACCCAGTAATACTTTGCCCGACCCGGGAATCGAACCCGAGACCCCTTGCCCGGCAGTCGCACTTGCGACAACTCGGCCAACGAGGCAGACACAATTGTAATAGCAGACTAAGGCCCTAGGTGGAAGTGCTCTTTGGTGAACCTAGACCTTTTTATACTACGATCTCCGACCTCTCTGTCTAGCAGATATGCAGCTATATGAGACACAATCCTTACTAATATTATAAATTGGAAAGTGAGTGAGTTTGTTCCATTTTAACGCCGTAACTACTGAACCGATTGCTTTGAATTTTTGCAGACGTAAAGTTAGAAGTCTGGATTAAATAATAGGGTACTTTTTATCCTGGAAAAATTTGGTATTCTCGAGGAAAACGAAATTATTGGTATAGATGGCGCTGTGTGTATTAGCATATGTCACATAGGCTATTTATCTTTTTGTGATGCGTGCGAAGCCGCTGGTAAAAGCTATACAAAATACATTGTGCCTCGCATGGATCCACGTTCAAACACACGACTAGTTAAAAGACGCTCTCACCTCATTGTAGATATTCTTCAAGTGCTCAGCAGATATGCCCAGTTCATTGTACATGATGTCGCCAGTTACTGGGATCAGCTTCTTCATAACATGTGGCTTCTCCTCTCTTATTCTTTTGAATAGCTGGAATTATAAAGTGGGTGTGAGAAAACGGGTCCGTTAAATTCCGATTCACTAGGATCTGTGTAGTGTATTTTTCATAGATGCATCATTATGTGATGTTCAAGGTGCTTCAAGGATACAATATAGGTGGGACTTCGTTTCAAATTGTAAAAATAAATCATACAATTCATACTTATACATATGATGTCTACAAAGGATATCCTGATATGAAATTCTAACGTAACATAACATCACACCTTTGTTCCCCGAAGGGGTAGGTAGAGGTGCACATTACGACACTTAATGCCGCTGTATAATATAACACCCACTTTTCACTATTTATGTTATGAGTTCTATGTAATGGGGGTGAGCCTATTGCCATATACCGGGCACAATTCCAAATACCGTGCTACTATTGATTTTTTTTTAAAAAGCCTGTAGTACTTTGCCCGAACCGGGAATCGAACCAGAGACTTGGTCAATGACGCAATCGTCTCTCTTTCTAACGTATAACTCTAACTCTAACTAGTGTTGTTTAAGGATGTGTTTTATTTTCTAGTGCAGTATTCTGTCAATCATTGATGATTAATACATTACACTAACAACAAATCCTTCATATTAACTTTATTCAATCCTTAGTTTGTATTACTAAACATGTGTAGTGTACGTAATAAACTGCAAGAACCCAGAACCAACTTCAACTGCATCGAACAAGTACATAACCATTGCTTAACTCACAGGCAGTTTCCACATGTCTTCGATGCGTGTCTCCGGCGACTTGCCTCGCTTCGACCGTACCAGTGCGTACACGCAGCCGACGTCAGGTACACTGTATAGCAATTTCTCAATCAACACCTTGCCCATTAACCCCAGGGCACCAGTCACTAAGACACTCCGTCCTTTGTACCACTCGTTCACTTCTGACGCCATTTTGTGCCCTGAAATTAAAAAATAAAAATAGGTTCTTTTAGATTCACTACTTCAATTACCTATGCATTTAGATTTAAATGTAGGTATATAAGATTGACTACAACTACAAAGGGTGCTTACCACTGCGGTATCGACCCGTACAGATTTGTTTAGGTGTTTGCCTGTTTTTATGTAAGCAGCCTTATCTTATACCAATTAGGTACTTTCTTTAATCGAAAATAAATTATTTCAACTGTTCAATACAATACAATATTAAAAATAATCACTCTTTCATTAATTGATTTAATGACTAATTTAATTTTGATATTTTTCTAGTAAATTTTTAAGAAATAAGTGTGACGCTAAAAAACGTGACGTCACAATACACAATTTCGTAGAAAATTCATAGAAAACTGTCGTTTTCGACGGTTCCAAGGAAGTATTGAATTTGACTAATTGGCAAGTACCCAATTCAGATACAATTATTTACTTCTTTATGGATAAAGAAGCCTTGACTGATGAATATTATGACTTAAATCTGATAACTTTTGAAAAAATATAAAACATTACTTTGGTTGTCGAAATGTGATATTGTTTTGCCAATATTTAAAACATGCTCATAGAAATGTATGTCTTCTCCACATAAGCTTTTTAGGCGATTTCAAAGCTCATATCGACGTTGTTATAGTGACCTGAATGATGATCGTCTGCAAACTTTACCGCACATCACATTAGGGGCATGCGTAATGCAATTTTGTAACGCCACAATCTACCTTCAAGACTCAAGTAATATGAGAAATTGCATCAACAAACGGTAACGCCAAGTATCTGAGAAGCGGTTAAGTAATACTTAGTTTAAGAAACTTAACGTGACGCAAATAAGTACTGGGGTTTAACTACATATATACTTAACCTGTGTTTATATGATTAAGTAAATGAATATAAGTTAACCATATGAATTTTAACTACCAAAGAAGAACGTAGAAGTGGGAAAGAGAACATGAAGTATCTGGCTAATTCATTCTTCTATAGAATACCTACAACAATCGAAACTTTGCACACAGAAGTTAGTTTCACTAAATCACCAATGGACAAATAACATCTACATACGTCTACTTTGTCATCGCGAAGGACACACCGGGCGTCGGGGATCGCGAGACGATCTCCGGCCACCGTAAGCGCGGGCCTGCGGACGGCGAGCATGGGTGGCTCCCCGTCCGACCAGAAACAGACCCGAGCGTACGGCGCGTCGCGTTCCGCGCGCGCCTCAAAGAGCCATCAGACCACCACAGATGGGGCCCAATAGGGCCGATGCCGATTCGGAGTCGCGGAGAACCTAACGGGTAACTGGGGCTCCGGCTCGACGTGCAGGAGAAGGAACGGGGTGGTTTTTAGTCAGTAAGAGTCTGACACTTCCTTCTGCCTCACCCAGGCGGGAGCAGTCATTCGATGATTTTCCCCCCTTAAAAAAAAAATACGTCTACTTTATTACCGTCTACCGTCTACTATTTTACTTTTACTGATTTTCAAATAAGCATTTTTATTGAATGGCTTGGCATTCGCTTTCATAATTAAATTTTGGTGTGTCTAATATAACGCCTATTTTTGACCTATTACTAACAAACCGAAAATCTTCAGATATCGCTGAATGCCGCTTAAGAATCGACACCGAGAAACCACGTTCACCTCAGTACCACTTGTCTTGCAGCCAGTCAACTAATAGACAGTTGCAATATCGAAATGTTAAAAATAGTTACTTAAATAAACGTCTTACTTTTGTTCATTTTAGACTCGAAAGTGAGTGGTCCAAGTCTGGGCGTTGAAAGAGAAATTACTTAGAAACGCGAAGTTTTGAATTGGGCTCGATAACTAGTACCGGCTTGTCTAGCCACATTCTACAACGGGTACTACTAGTATATTTGTATGTAAGTAATATAACTGTAATATTTGTAACCTAATGGTAGTAATACGAGCGTACGGCGCGTCGCGTTCCGCGCGCGCCTCAAAGAGCCATCAGACCACCACAGATGGGGCCCAATAGGGCCGGTGCCGATTCGGAGTCGCGGAGAACCTAACGGGTAACCGGGGCTCCGGCTCGACGTGCAGGAGAAGGAACGGGGTGGTTTTTAGTCAGTAAGAGTCTGACACTCCCTTCCGCCTAACCCAGGCGGGAGCAGTCATTCGATGATTTTCCCCCCTTAAAAAAAAAAAAAAAAGGTAGTAATACACACTTTCGCAAATCATGATTTGAACTATGGTATGGTAAATGGTAATCTGTGAATTTTGTGATTATAAGACTGTTTTAGATTGGATGAATGAGTGAAAGGACTGATTATTATACAATGATTTTAAAACGTTAAATATAATTTCGACATACCTATATATTGAGTATCCAGAAAAAAATTACAATGTTAATTATCATTGTCATAACATTACGCCTTTTATCCCCGAAGGGGTGCCACTGTATAATGTAACACCCACTTTTCGCTATTTATGTTTTGAGTCCCATGTTATAGGGGATGAGCCTATTGCCATATACTGGGCACTATTCTAGACACCATGCTACTACTGAGATTATTTATATGAATGAAATCTTTCGTTTAACATCCTTCAAACACCACACACTACAAACAATACAACCTTGACCACACACAAAACTGCTAATATGACGTTTGTTGACACACACATAAATCATATATAAAACCATCCATCTTGCATTATTCTCTGTTTACGAAACAGCGTGTCAAACACAGCATTTGAGCATTTCGTAAAGGGCGTAAAGGCTTTCTTAAAACTACGGATCATATTCTGAGTATTGACCTACCCTTTATTACGTAATAGATGTTAAGTATTTTTATTATGTATTTCAAGTAAGATATCGTAACCGCATTCATGTCAACCCACTTTAACTTACCTGTGTTAGTTGCGAAACAGTTGTGTCATCTAGAAGTCGACGGATACCATCATTAGATGAGTAAATTACGCGTGCCTTATTAGTTCGAGCCGTATAATGAGAGCGCTTTGAAATTGTCATCTGTACATGCTTGAGGATTTTGTAATTAATGTGTACTGGCAATGTATGATTATTGTGCGGAGTATAGTTTGGTTTCAAGACAGTATGACATCACGTCGATTATGCCCTAAAATGGGGAGGCAGTGATTATACCCTTTTCTTTTTTTTATGGGATAAGACGGTAAACGGGCAGACGGATCACCTGATAGTAAGCGATCGGCGTCGCCCATGGACACCTGAAAAACCAGAGGTTAGTGACACCTGAAAAAGTGTGTTACTGGCCTTTTGGGAATTGGAAATTTGAGGATTGTGGGGGATTCGGGGATTGGGGAGACTGGGGAAGGGGGTAATTGGGCCTCCGGTAACCTCACTCACACGACGAAACATAACGCAGGCGTTGTTTCCCGTCTGTTTTCTACGAGGCCGTGGTATTACTTAGGTCGAGCCCGCCCATTCGTGCCGAAGCATGGGTCTCCCACACTTAAAAGTGACTCGTGAAGTTATAGCACTAATGGAAAGCAGTATTGTACATTACATACATCAATTTTTCAGTCATCATCATCATCATCATCATCATCAACAGCCTATAAATGCCCACTGCTGAGCAAAGTCTCTTCTCACACGGAGAAGGTTTGACCATTAATTACTACGCTAGCTGAATGTGGGTTTGCGATTATAAACTTATAATTAGAAATTATAAACCCAGGTTTCCTCACGATGTTTTCCTTCACCGTTTGTCAGTGGTGTCTTGATCTTTGAAAGTACATATAACTCGGAAAAAGTCACATAGGTACTTGCCGTTGGTAGGTTTCGAACCCGCATCCTCATGCATGAGAAGAGGGCGTCTTAAACCTCCGAGCCACCACGACATTTTTCAGTGCCTATATTTAATTAATCATCATCATCACGCCTTTTATCCCCGAAGGAGTAGCCAGAAGTACACATTGCGGCACTTAAAACAGTTTACAATGTAACACGCACTTTTCACTATTTATGTTATAAGTCCCATGTAAAATAGGGAGTGAGCCTATTGCCATATACCGGATACAATTTCAGACTCTGTGCTTCTGATGTAATTGAAAACGTCAGCAATATTTTTCTCGACCCGGAAATCGAATCCGAGACCTCTTGCTCAACTATCGGACTTGCGACCAATCGGCCAACTATACATAAAAAAGTAATTAATCATCTACTTGTTAGCAGCTAAACAAAAGGTAGTCCGTAGCAATTTACATTGTTAAACCATCCACGCATTGTGCCAAACATGACGGAAACAGTTTCAGAAAACTACCATTAACATATGTTAAAACATAACGAGTTTTAACAACAACGAGTTATTGGTTATTTTAATAGCCTAGGTCAGTTTGTTAGGTAGAAGATTTTACGACCTATTCATGTGCCCATACAAATATAATATTAATGTTTAAAGAGAACTGTTGTTTTAACGTCAATATTTTATTATATTGTTAGCTTCTGTACGAGTCGATAGTTTTCTAAATGATTATCGAATGAACACATTCAGTTTTCGCGTGTAGCATGCGTTGGTTTCGCGTATTGTGTGCGTTTTTGTTCTATCTTTATTACTTTTAAATTAGATTTGGTGATGTGTTCAACTATAAATTAGTGTTCACTAAACCTATTCATTAAAATATTTGATTATATTTTATTGAATGTGATTGATAGATCCAATATACTCACTCACACAGCGAAACACAACACATTGATGTGACACGCGTTGTGTCACGCCGGTTTTCTGTAAACCCGTCATATTACTCTGGTCGATCTGGCCAATGGCAGTCATGCCGAAGCTTTTTCTTTTGAGGGGGAAATCATCCAATGACTTCTCCCGAAAGTGAGGCAAGAAGGAGAATCAGACTCTTATTGACTAAAAACCACCCCATTCCTACTCCTGCACTTCGAGCCGTAGCCCCGGCAACATGTTAAATCCTCTGCAGCTCCAGTTAAATCCTCTCCGCGTAATAAATAGTATTAGGTATTTTTCTTCTTA